GTAAAAGTGCCTGGTAGTGAAGTGGCTAATACCAGACAGGTTTGTTTTTTGTGTGGCAGAGCTGTATAAATCTCAGCTAACATATATTTGTTTCATCTGTGAAAAGAGACGTCCTCAGGCATTTTTTGTCTGCTGCCAGAGAGCTCATTACCCACCACTGGAAATTGACTTCTACACCCTCCCTTAGGGAATGATAATAGAGTCCACTTTTGTGGACTCTATTAGGGACTGTGAACAATAGTGGGAGCAAGAAAGGAAGAACAGTTTTCTTGCACATGGATGGTCCGCATGATCCAAGTTCCACTACTCATCAGAGTTTCTAGCATGGCTAAGGGAGACAACCGTTTTCCACCCTTGCATAGCCATTAGAGATGAGCGAATCGAACATGACGAAGTGGAATTCGTTTCGAAGATTTGGAAAAATTCGATTCGCGACGAATCCGAAGATTAGCAAACTTCGGATGCACGAATCGAATTTTTCCCAAAAATGGCGGCGACATGTATGGCGACAGGAGAAAATGGACAGAGAAAGATGGGACGGGGATCTCTGGGAAGGCGTGCAGACAAGGCGCGCTGACCCATAATGCATTCATGAGTCATGAATCATGACATGTGATCGCATTAGCCAATCAGCAGCCAGCCAGCACTGTGTAATGGTGGAGCTATAAATCGCGGCCATCTTAGAATTCTCCATTAGCCTCCGGTCATTCAAGAGAGACAGACCTGTCTGTATTAAGGGACAGAGTTAGGGCCACAGAGACTTTTAGGGGCCACAGAATCGTTACTCAGGGACAGAATCGTTACTCAGGGACACAGAATCGTTACTCAGGGACACAGAATGTTACTCAGTGACACAGAATTGTTACTCAGGGACACAGAATCGTTACTCAGGACACAGAATCGTTACTCAGAGGGACACAGAATCGTTACTCATATAGGACACAGAATCGTTACTCAGGGACACAGAATCATTACTTAGGGGCCACAACTATCAAAGAATCGAAAATTTAAAGTGACATACACCCTTTTTTTTTTTGGTAGCTGTCGTGCACAGTTGGTGCTGCAGTTTGCCGATTGTGCAAAATAAACTGACTTTCTGCTTCACAACCACTATTGTACGTTCAAAGAGTTAAATCCATTTACCACGCCGGCTGGCGGTAATATTTTTTGGGTGATTAGTGCATTCCAGTGACATAAACGTACAGTTTCCAGCCAACGGCAAGCTGCAATTGACCGATTGTGCTAAATAAACTGACTTTCTGTTTCACAACCACTATTGTACGTTCAAAGAGTTAAATCCATTTACATGCCGGCTGGCGGTAATATTTTTTTTGGGTGATTAGTGCATTCCAGTGACATAAACGTACAGTTTTCCAGCCAACGGCAAGCTGCAATTGACCGATTGTGTACAATAAACTGACTTTCTGCTTCACAACCACTATTGTAAACGTTCAAAGAGTTAAATCCATTTACACGCCGGCTGGCGGTAATATTTTTTTGGGTGATTAGTGCATTCCAGTGACATAAACGTACAGTTTCCAGCCAACGGCAAGCTGCAATTGACCGATTGTGCTAAATAAACTGACTTTCTGCTTCACAACCACTATTGTACGTTTCAAAGAGTTAAATCCATTTACACGCCGGCTGGCGGTAATATTTTTTAGGGGTGATTAGTGCATTCCAGTGACAGAAACGTACAGTTTTTTCCAGCCAACGGCAAGCTGCAATTGACCGATTGTGTACAATAAACTGACTTTCTGCTTCACAACCACTATTGTACGTTCAAAGAGTTAGATCCATTTACACGCCGGGTGGCGGTAAATTTTTTTTGGGTGATTAGTGCATTCCCCAGTGGACATTAAACGTACAGTTTCCAGCCAACGGCAAGCTGCAATTGACCGATTGTGCTAAATAAACTGACTTTCTGCTTCACAAACCACTATTGTACGTTCAAAGAGTTAAATCCATTTACAACACGCCGGCTGGCGGTAATATTTTTTGGGTGATTAGTGCATTCCAGTGACACAAACGTACAGTTTCCAGCCAACAGCAAGCTGCAATTGACCGATTGTGCTAAATAAACTGACTTTCTGCTTCACAACCACTATTGTACGTTCAAAAGAGTTAAATCCATATACACGCCGGGTGGGCAACGAAACTTGACCTTTGGCCCCAACTAGCTGAATTTGCCCTTGAAAGGCTGTCATGCCCGGCCAGTAGCGTGGCATCGGAGCGCGTGTTTAGTGCGGCAGGGGAGGTAATTGTAACTCCGCGGAGGACACGACTGTCCACCCCAAAGTGTGGAGAGACTCACGTTTGTGAAAATGAAATCAGGCGTGGATTAGTCTGGATTTCAAACCACGAGTTCGTGACACAACTGACTAAATCCGCCATGAATCATGCCCCAAACATGTTATTAGGGACAAATGGAAGACCTCCACCTAATCCGTACATTTGTATATATATTTTATTGAGAGGCTGCTGGTCGGCCGACTCATGTTTTGCCACATTTTTAATGACTTATACTCTGCAGGTCGGGCCCCTCATGAATTGGGGTTTTTCAATTATTAATACTTCGCTGGACGACCGTCACATGAATTGAACCTTTTTAATGACTTATATACTCTGCTGGTCGGGGCCCCTCATGAATTGGTGTTTTTAAAATTATTTATACGTCGCTGGACGACTGTCACATGAATTTAAACTTTTTAATTATTTGTAGTCGACCAGTTCCAGACCGATGGAATAGCAATTTTTTTTAAATATTTATTTGACACGGTGTTGTCCATCTCATCAATGAGGTGGACTGTTTATTTATTGGCCATGGTTTGGCCCCCTCCTGTTTTCTTACATTGTTAACTTGTTGTATCGGTCACGGTTTGGCCACATGTTTTGGTTGTCTTGTTAAGATTTTCTGTAATGTACACAGTTACGCTTGACTTGTCGACTTTCCACAATCTACTAAGGTATAGCATCGCATCAAAGTTTTTTTTTTGGTCTAAACCATTTCTTATAATGTCAATTTGTAGGATACGCCGCTGTAAGGCGACCTACTTTTTTGTCACTGTGTAGACATCTATTTTATAGGCCGATGTTTGGCCAGAAAGATATATTTAGTAATAACCTAGCCGTTCAAGCCGCTCACTGAACACCTCGGGAATAGCTTTGTATATCTGTCGCCTTAGGGCCCGCTGTCCTGGCGACAAATAATTTTTTGTCACTGTGTAGACATCTATTTATAGGCCGATGTTTGGCCACAAAAATATATTTAGTAATAACCTAGCCGTTCAGGCCGCTCCCTGAACACCTCGGTTTGTATATCTGTCGCCTTAGAGGCCGCTGTCTGAACAGCTCATGAATTGCTTTCTATATGTGTCGCCTTTGAGGCCGCTGGCTGGACAGCTGATGAATTGATTTTTGTATATATGTAGCTTATTGTCCGCTGTCCGGACAGCTCATGAATTACTTTTTTATATATAGCCTTCCAAACCACTCTCAGAATAAGTCATGGATATTCATGCTGTGTATAGCCTTATAGCCAATGGTCAATCAAGTCATGATTGTTATAGTATGTATAGCCTTATGGCCGCTGTCTTTACAACTTTATAATTCCATGCATGCAGAATATAGCCCTATCGGCCACTCTCTGGCATCCAGTTGCTGTAGCCCCCATCACCACACTGTGCCACGGGCCCCTGTACCGCCTTCTCATACTGCTGCCAGATCCATCCTCTGCCATGTGCGTCTTTGTCGTCTGCTCACGCTGCTGGGTTTCCAGTTTTAAAACCTAGGCCTGTGTATGGCTTCCTTGAATACTGCTGCCGCCATGTGCCTCTGTCCACCGCCCACCCTGCGCCATGTGCCTCGTGACAAATGCTGGTACTTCAGTGGTTTGTGCGCATTAAGGCCAGACACCAAAGGGTCGTCTGCTCACGCTGCTGACGGCTTCCCGCTTTTAACCTAGGCCTGTGTTTTATGGCATATTTCCGTAATACTGCTCAGGCAATAAAGCCTCGCAGGTTGTTCCGCCATACCTGACCGGCATTACCATCATAAAATTTTCTGCTGCACTTCGGGTCTGCCACCGCCACCCTGCGCCATTGCCTCTGTCGTCTGGCTCACGCTGCTGATCGGACGGCTTTCCGCTTTTTAAACTAGTCCTGTGTATGCTTCCGAATTACTGCTTCCGCCCACCGCCACCCTGCCCATGTGCCACGACCTGTTATTACTCGGGTCTCCTCACAACGCTGCTGCCAGGTCCATACTTGATCCCAGAATGCTGCCATGGCCCCCTGGGTACACCGGCTCCGTCATGGAACGTGGTTTCAGCGGTTTGCATCACTTAACATCCTGCAAATCGTTGACAAATGCTGTGGTACCCGGTTTCAGTGTTGTGCTGCATAAGATCCATGAGTAGTCACGTCCCCACAAGGGCAGAGCACTGGGGGGACCTGTTTGATTAAAGACCTAGCATGGCTCAAACATCTCTGTGGCTTCAATTGACCGCTGCTTACCCATACCACAAAGTGTCAGCCCAGACCTGCCCAGCATGGCTGACACTGGTGCCCTAAACCGTCATACATGGCCTTTAATTCGCTCCGCCACTCTGCCAGACTCTTGTTCGCTCCGCCACTTTTTTCTGCCTCTGGCCTCTTGGGTATCCCAGAACGCTGCTCAGCGGAGGGGTCAGGGCAATAAAGCTCCCGGTTCGCAGGTTGTTCCGTCTTATGGATGGAAGTAACGACGGTATATGACTTCTTCGCACCCCACAAGGGCATTACTTCGTAAAAGAGTGGCCCATTTGCCACAACTTATTCCAGAAAGATCGAACAACTCAGCCATTGGACTTTCATATACGGCCCATAGACTGCTGCTGGGGGGACTTTTTCACAAACGCTGCCACTGTCAGTGGCCTTCAATTGAAGCTGCTTCCGCTTCTCTGCCCATTGGACTCTTGATAGTCGTCTCCCCACGACTGCTGCTGGGGGGACTTTTTTAACCTAGGCCTGTGTATGGCTTCAATTGAAGCTGCTTCCGCTCCGCCACTCTGCCATTGGACTCTTGATAGTCGTCTCCCCCACGCTGCTGGGGGGGGGGACTTTTTAAACATAGGCCTCTGTATGGCCTTTAATTGAAGCTGCTTACGCTCCGCCACTCTGCCATGGGTATTCCCTCTTGGGTATCCCAGAAGCTGCTCAGCGGGTCAGGGCAATAAAGCTCCCGGTTCGCAGGTTGTTCCGTCTTATGGATGGAAGTACGACGGTATATGATCTTCTTCGCACCCACGGCATTACTCATCGTAGAATTTCTGCATTGCATCTGCAATCACAACGCTGACTTCCCCCGGATCGCCACTCAGCCATTGGACTGGTGAAAGTCGTCTCCCCACACTGCTGCTGGGGGGACTTTTTAACCTAGGGCCTGTGTATGGCCTTCAATGAAGCTGCTTCTGCTCCTCCACTCTGCCATTGGACTCTTGATAGTCGTCTCCCCACACTGCTGCTGGGGGGACTTTTTTAACATAGGCCTCTGTATGGCCTTCAATTTAAGCTGCTTACGCTTCGCCACTCTGCCATGGGCCCCTGTAAAGCCTCCTCTTTGCTGCTGCCGAGGTCCAGAGTGCTGTCATGGGTTCCTGTACGGCCTCCCATTGCTGCTGACTTCATCGCCAGACTCTGCCATGTGCCACTTTCAGGTCTCCTTACACTGTTGGTGGGTTCCCATTTTGTGATAGGGTGCTGTATGGCCTTCCATTGCTGCTGCCTCCACCGCCACCCTGCGCCATGTGCCTCTGTCGTCTGCTCACGCTGCTGACGGCTTCCGCATTTTTTTAACCGAGGCCTGTGTTTGGCTTCCGAATACTGCTGCCATCCCCGCCACCCTGCGCCATGTGTCCCTGGCGTCTGCTCACGCTCGCTGACGGCTTCCGCTTTTTAACCTAGGCCTGTGTATGGCTTCAGAATAATGCTGCCTACACCGCCACCCTGCGCCATGTGCCTCTGTCGTCTGCTCACGCTGCTGCCAGGTCCATACTGATTCATGGCCCCCTGTACCGGCTCCTCATGAACGTGGTTCAGCGGGTTTGCATTACTTAACGGCAAATCGTTGACAAACGCTGGGACGTTCAGTGTTGTGCGCATTAAGCCAGACACCAAAGGGCAGCACAGACCTGTTATTACTTCGCTCAAGCATGGCTGAACAAAACCAGTCTCTACCACCAAATTGGACCCAGACCTGCCCAGGTCTCGTAACTAGATTGCACGGAGGAGTAGAGTTCGTTATTTGGAATTAAACTGTGAGGGACTTTTAAACCTAGGCCTGTGTATGGCCTTCAATTGAAGCTGCTTCTGCTCCGCCACTCTGCCATTGGACTCTTGATAGTCGTCTCCCCACGCTGCTGCTGGGGGGGGACTTTTTAACATAGGCCTCTGTATGGCCTTCAATTTTAGCTGCTTACGCTCCGCCACTCTGCCATTGGCCCCTGTACCGCCCTCCTCATGCTGCTGCCAGGCCCCGTAATCTTGCCATGGGCCCCCGTACCGACTCCTCATGCTGCTGCCAGGCCCGTAATCTGTCATGGGCCCCTGTACCGCCCATCCTCATGCTGCTGCCAGGTCCAGAGTGTGTCATGGGTCCCTGTACGGCCTCCCATTGCTGCTGTCTCCATCGCCACACTCTGCCATGTGCCACTTTCAGGTCTCCTCACACTGCTGGTGGGTTCCATTTTGTCATAGGGTGCTGTATGGCCTCCCATTGCTGCTGCCTCCACCGCCAACTGTGGCTCCACACTCTGGTTTTGGCCCCGTGACTGCCCAAATGAGTGAAGTGTGCGGTGATTTCTAAGATCGACGGCACTCATCTGCATGTCATACTGACTGACAGTATTATTTCTCTTCCCAGCAGACTCCAAGGGCATTTAAATTAAAGGTACAGTGTTCTGCACTAATATAAAGGCTCTCTGAAGCCTAGAAACACCCTTTTTATAAGTTAAATTTGCAGTGAATATATTCCGGGCACGAAGCGAATTAATCGGCGAATTCGGCGAATCAGCCAAACTGAATTTTGAATAATTCGCTCATCTCTAATAGCCATGATAGAGCATCTTCTCCTCTCCTTTCCTTGCCCTGCCTGTCTTGTACCCTCCTCTCCCGCTTTCTCACCTCCTTTCAAATATGTAATTGATCTTTAATATGCAAATGTGTTTCCTCCAGCACATACCAAACCCAGAAGTGTGCAAAAATGAGTTTACTTAAAGTCACTTTACCTCTTACTCATAACCAAGTTCATTACCACAATTGGTGAAGAGCACCTTTTTCATGATACTTAACATAATATGATCATATGTGAATGTACTTCACATTGTAATGTTTTGTTGTGAAATTCTATCTGTGCTGTTTCTTTGTACGATTCAAACTTAATAAAATCAGATTGATCAACAAAAACTGAGCAGAAGAACACACCACGGTCAGTTCTTTAGCTGTGTTGGGAACTCAGTGTGTTCTCCTCCAATAATCAGACTTGTCCTAACACAACCCTCCTGCACAGCCTTTCACTGGGAAGATCAGTGTGCTGCTGTTTCTCTTTCCTGAGTGCTCTGTTCTCAGCTTAATTAGGAGCTTAGAGGGAATGTGATCACTTTTAAAAAGGGGAGAAAAGGTATGTGTAATATTTTTTTATATCTACACAGAAATGTTTTGCCTTTCATTTCAATTTTAAAACTGAATGGGTTGTTTTGCAGGGTGTAGGTTTACAATCACTTTAATTGGCTCCTCTCCAAATTAGCCATAGTATGCGTGCATGTGTGTGTGTTTGTATGCATGCAAGATAGGGACTGTAGTAAGCACATAAAGTACTGCTAAATTGTTGGTGCTATATAAATAACTGTATTAAATAATATATTACGCTGGAAAAGACTATGGTCACATCTGTACAGGAGATACTGTATTTTTTGTCTAAGGATATCATTACCTTACATTTAATGCAATATTTATTTCAGACAACATTCTATATTGATTGTTTGTCAAATAACTGAATTTTTCAAATATACATCTGACAGAGCAAATAAAACATAAAAGACATTTCCAGTCTCATTAATGAAATCTCATGCAAAAACCTGACTGCTGAGATCTTATACTGTAATTAAGTGGGAAAAGCAACCACAATTAGGACAAAAAATGGTAATTATTTCATTATGTTTATCAAGATGACATCAGCTTGTGGTATGAAAGAGCTCACTATAGGCCCCACAAGTGTGCAAAGTTTACTGATAACCACTTCTGTTCTTAGTACTCTTCCTGAAGCAGTGGTTACCTTAAGCTTATCATAATAACTGATTTTCAAATGCATGGCAACAGTTTCTTATGTTGCTTTCAAAAAATGGGTTAGCAAACAACACAGGAAACAAATGAAACAAACAGAGTAGTTGCCAGGTGATGATGCAAAGTACTTTTAAAACAGTAGTAAACCGCAGGTAAAAAAGAAAAAATCCCCAGCAAAGAAATGTCATGATACATCACATACTAGCATATCAATTCAAATGTAAGTGCAGCGCTAAAGCATAAGTGACAAATACAATCCCTCCATCTAGTTGGCAAATCATGCATCAGTTGCATGGAAAAAAGCCTTTCAGGTCTTCAAACAAAGAAATCTCCTGTGGGGGATTGACTACATTTGGTGCAATTTTGTCTCTCAAGGATGGAGCTCTTCTGAATAAAACTTCTGGTTTGGGTGGGAGGAAATCTTTCAGTATGGGGTCACTCTTTAAGATGCTCCAATGTTTGTTTTGACCTGGTGATGTTGTATCGAGAAATTGGTCACGAAAGGACAAATTATACGGGATTCCGATTTAGTTGTCTGTCGAAGAGGGAAGCCCTATCCAACCTGGCTACTTGTGTGTGTTGGCCTGTATCTTGCTAGCTGAGTGGTGAGCTGGACAAATTTTATGCTTTTTATGTTTTTATATCTGTAAGTGTAATTTTAGTGGAGGATATAATAAAGTGTTATACAGAGAGCACTATGTTTTGGTCTTTTTGTTGTATGAGATTAATTTTTAATAAAATAAAGTGAAAACCCGCACAAATGTCCCACATCCACAATTAAGCAAAGCAGCAAACACACCAGAAGGATATCCCCCTCTCAATCAGCAAATATAAAATGAAGTGTTGCGCTTAGAGTGAAAAACATAAATAAATGAAAACAATAAATGAATACACAATAATGTGCACTACATATACAAGTGATAACAGTCCATAAAGAACCCTATAGTGCTCAAAAGCCACATATATAAAAAATAACAGTCTTGTGAGTAAAGAAGGTTTCTTGAATGTGCAAATACTGGTGAAAATTCTTCATTCCATCCAAGAATCACCAATGTGAATGGCCACCACCATATTTAAGCAAGTCAAAGGCTTATCAGCAGGGGGTGGACTGACAACTCATGGGGCCCCTGGGAAATAGGGGATCATGGGGCCCCTGTGTCCCTGCCCAAATTCAAAAAAGCCTATGAAAAAGGTACCAGGGGCATCTTATGGGGCCCCCTACAGACTCCAGGCCCTCAGGCAGTGCCCGAGTTTACAAATGGTCAGTCCGCCCCTGCTTACCAGATTCTCAGACCTCTTAATTATAGGAGGTCAAGTTGGACTCAGTGTGAATGTCACTTCCATCAGAGAGATGAACTATATGGGACCCAATGCTCTGCTCCAATATAATCAGCCATTCCAGAATTAAAGATCAGGGTTGCCTCATAAAACAATAAAGAGGTGCCTCTCATAGTGCAGTAAATTCAATTACTTTATTGAAACAAACAAGATTGCACTTACAACAGCGCTGAAGTTACAGGCATCAATCATTGCACATGGGTGTTCCAAGATGGCGGACAACGCGATGATGTCAGAAGGAAGCCTATAACGCTAGCTAATTTCTGTCCAATTCCTTCCAAGCATCAAGGTAGGGGACACCCACTACTAAAAAGTTCAGTTCCCTCTTGTTGCTCTGGAATCCTTAATATCTATGCTACTGTATTAAACCTTTATATTAAACCTTTACATCAGTTTGGTATTTCCAAGATAACAGATTTCCTTAGCAATGACAAACCTAAGAGCATTGGAGCCCTGGAGGCAGAGTTTGGCCTAATAGGGAACCCCACTCCACATGCTTTCATATCTTGCACTTTTCTACCAAGCATCATGTCCCACACAGGGACAAGGCAGGGATGGAAGAGGCCCCTGCACTGGGCTCTGTGATAATTTGTGGTGAGGGGGTACACTGGGAGCTTCTGCCGCTGCTCCTACCTGACAGGAGAAACTGTCATTCTCCCTCATATTACTACACAACTATGGCTTCCCCAATTTCTTTGTTCTGCCCAGTTCAACTCTGCCTTATCTCTCCTTGTTCGCACATGTTTTGGTCTCTGAAGAGTGGTCAGCATTCAGTTTGCTATTCGGGGAGAATTTGACTGGCTGTAAGATGGCGTTGTATTGCCTCCACACCACCTGCTTTAACACCTTCAAACTTGCACTAGCATGCTACAACCATGTGCATTGCACAAAGTTCTGGGGCAGTTGCAAAGCATCACCATTCACATGAATGGGTCAAGTTTGACAAGGGGTATTAAGCTGTGAAGCAAAATATCAGAGCTGCAGCATGTGCACATTCCCAGGTACTCCCTCTGCAGCTAAAGGATGCAGCAGTTGAAGCACCCAGGGGGTGCCAGTTTTTGCCCTTCCCAGCCATCATAATTTAAGCATACTCACTGTTCACTGTGGTGCAATACGCACGCCAAAGCTCACAATTTCCCAGAGATGTCCTCATTTCAACTTCAAAAGCTAGACTTTATTACTATTTCAGTGCATGTCACAAACATTACATGCAATACAAACCTTCCACCATTATTAGCCTTATCCTGGGGGGAAGGGGGGGGCGCAGTTTGCCATGTTCGCCCTGGGCACTGGATGACCTTGTCTCGGCACTGCCACAAATTTCTATGTACCTCAAGGTATGGCAATACTACACCTCTCCTATAAAAACAACTAAAGGTATTTCACTTTTCTATAACCTTCAGCAAGACAAGTACACTTTTTGCAAATTTTCCAAAATGCTCAAATGGGAAAAAGACCTACAAAACACTTTCACCCCTTTCCAATGGCGGGTCGCTTTTCATGCTTTATCTACGGCAATGTCAACCATTGGAATAGGAAAAGGAAAGGGGGATTTCAATACAGGGCCCCCCTTTTCTTATGGAACTGTGGCAGGGGGAATAGTTTCAAGTATCAAATAAATAAATAAATAGATGTTGCGCTCCTAAGCTAAATAATATTATAATCATATAACATTCAAAAATAAAATCGATAACTAAATGAAATGCCCAAATCAGTCAAAAATATAAAAATAACCA